TGCTTCATATGAATACAAAAATAGGTCTGCTAAATAACGGAGCACAATTGGTGCCAATGGGAATTCCAAGAGATTGTTGGAAGACCTGGTCTCCAAAAACCACATAGAAATTGTCAATCTGAAACTCAAGCATCTTTTTGATGTCAACTTCAGAGTACTTGTGCGTGCAATCAGAATGTGTTTTAACAAAATAATTTTGCAATTGACCAGGTAAGTAAATTTACAAGTTCCATTTTTATTGAAAAAGCAACTGTCAATGATATCAAAAAGCCTGGACTTTAATTTATCGTGGGGAATAGTTGTGCATAAAGTTGAAAAGTCGTAAGTTTTTAAGCTGTTGATTTTGGTAAAATCTTGTGATTTCAAATTGTCCAAAAGTTCTTTGGAATTTTTGAGTATCCACATCTGATTCTCACCACTTTTTGAATATATTGTTGCACAGTACTTTTGAAGTTTTTCCTTCACTACTGTCAATATCTTAGTGAGGAGTAAAGAAAGAGGCTTGGCTGAACATTTACTGGAACCCGCAAGGTATCTTTGTTTGTAAGGATTCTTATGAAGTTTCGGAATCCAATACTAGTATATAAATGGTAGTTCAAATTCATTTTTTTTTCTTCGGGATATTAAAAACATTCAAAACTGACAAATGATTTTGAAGAATTTCTTCCTTAGAGAGGGAACTATGAGTATAAGCTGGATTACCACTTGTAGAATTAAATCCAAGTTCTTCTAAACGAAATTTTGGAATGTGCTTGAATGTGCTCGTGAGAAGATTTTAAAAGCTAGTGACAGACAAAAGAAATATTATGACCTCAAGACCAATGACCAAACTTCCCCCTAGGGGATGGTGTTTTATTATTTAACTCAGCGAATATTAAAGGGAAATTACCAAATCTTATGTGTAAATGGGAGGGACCCTACATTACAGTTAGAAAACTGTCAGATTTCATTTACGAAATTAAATTTTCTTCAACTTCCAAGTCAAAAGTTGTACATGTGAATAGATTGAAATCATAACTTGTGAGAATGAAAAAATGGTTTGTCCCACCCAGTGATAAAAACACCATTTCCAGGGGACTCCAAATGCCCAATAAAAGATTAGTACCTCTGACCAAAGATTGACTTTACATGTATATTTTATTTGTGTCGGTAAACTTTTGTATTTCATTTTTTAGTCTCCACATATATCTTGGAAACTCATACCTTTCTGCTCCCTCTGAAGAATCAATACATCAATGTGATGACTCTGACTGGAGATTTTTTTCCAGATACATGTACAAGCTTTCTCGTCACATGAGGAATGTCCATGGAGATATAGTCTTTTGTTCCTTTTGCTATTATTCTGAACCAAAAACCAGGAAGTACCAACTGAAAAGACATGAAGAAACTGTTCACCGGGGTAAAGATTTTAAGCCTGTCATTGACAACAAGAGACCTGGAGCCAAGGGACACTTACCCGAAATAACTGTAAGACCGCCATCTCCTGTCTACTCTGACATTTCTTCTGTTGCCTCTCTACATCAGGAAGACCCTCTGGACCTGCCCGACAGGGATTTTTTAGAACTTTTTAAATAAGGGAAGTTGACGTTTATCATAGAGCTTGGTTGTTAGATTACTATGAAGTAGTATAAACGTCTTTTTCAAGTAAAATATCCGAGTATGAAGCAGATGTGTCAGACTCTGTGGTATCTTTTATCTCAAGCTCCCCAGAATATATCGTATCGACATAGAAATGGAAATTACCATTGTTAATTGACAGTACATCGTCGATATATCTAAATGTCAAGTTGAAAGCCACAGCTAGTTTTTTCTTCTTTTCACGCATAAGATTTTGCACAAATTCTGCTTCATATGAATACAAAAATAGGTCTGCTAAATAACGGAGCACAATTGGTACAAATGGGAATTCCAAGAGATTGTTGGAAGACCTGGTCTCCATCTTTTTGATGTCAACTTCAATTTTTATTGAGGAAGCAGCTGTCAAAGATATCAAAAAACCTGGACTTTAATTTATCGTGGGGAATGGTTGTGTATAAAGTTGAAAAGTCGTAAGTTTTTAAGCTGCTGATTTTGGTAAAATCTTGTGATTTCAAATTGTCCAAGAGTTCTTTGGAACTTTTGAGTATCCACATCTGATTCACACCACTTCTTGAATATATTGTTGCATAGTACTCTTGATTTTTTTTTTCCTTCACTATTGTCAATATCTTAGTGAAGAGTAAAGAAAGGGGCTTGGTTGAACATTTACTGGAACCCGCAACGTATCTTTATTGTTTTGTAAGGATTCTTATGAAGTTTCGGAATACAATATAAACATGGTACATGTAGTTCAAAATCATTTTTTTTCTTCGGGATATTAAAAATATTCAAAAATGACATGTGATTTTGAAGAATTTCTTCCTTAGAATGGGAACTACCGTATAGCGGGTTATTTTAGCGGGGTGCTAATTTTGGCTTATTTTGATGATAGTCCGCTAAAATTTTAATCGCTAAAATAGTCAGTACTCTTCTTGGTGTCCATCTACAAAGAGCTTAAACCCTGCGTCCGTCCGCTAAAATAAATCATGCCAAAATTATTGGTACAATGTATACCTTTCTGCAGGCAAAACGCCAAATTTTACACCCGCCAAGAAAACCCGCTATACGGTATGAGTATAAGTTGGATTATCACTTGTAGAATTAAATCCAAGATTTTCTAAAATACAATTTATAATAGAGCCTTACAAACAAAGACAATGTTATTACCTGCTTTGTCAGCAGGGACCAGTACGTACTGATCATGTAATCTATCTAATTCTTTTTTCACTTCTGGATTATTGAATACAGAAGGATAGATGGTCTTCATATTGTCCCTCTGTCTTTTAATACGCGATTTTAACATGAACCTGATATATTTAATCCATTCTGACAAAGTGTCAACGTCTTCTTTTTCATACATGTATCTGGCCCATCGTCCATCCCTACACGCAGTATCCAGGAAAGTTAAGTTTATTTTTATCTAATACACTAGTAGTTGAACACAGGATGTCTCAACTAATACACAGTTTGAATGCTCTAAGTCTCGTACTCTAAGGCAACATCCTCCGAAAACTAGATATCATTGAGATGGTGGCCATCTCAAAGGGCCCCGCTTTTAGCAATGAACATGAAAATGTAAGGTAGCTGAAAAGGGTTTATTTTGAAAGTGTTTAAGATTAAAGAGGACAAAAAATGACTACTCCCTGAAAAATAATACAATTATAAAACTTTTATAACCTTTGACCTAGAAACATATTTCAAGGTCACTGCACACCTTTTACCCAAAGGCACTCTGTAAAGTATGGGCCAGATTAGGCCAACGAAAGTGAAAATATGCTCCAAACAAGAATTTAAACAGAAAAGCTATTTCTGACCTTGACCCTTGAAACTTTGCTCAAGGTCACTGTACACCCTTTACCCAAAGGCACTCTGTGAGTGAAATATGAGCCACATTGGACAAAGGGGAGAGAAGATAAGCTCCAAACAAGGATTTTTCATATAATTCTGTTTTGACCTTGAACTTTGACCTAGAAACATGGTTCAAGGTCACTGCAGACATGTTACCCAAAGGCACTCTGTGGGTGAAGTATGAGCCAGATTGGGCCAAGGAGAGAGAAGATATGATCCAGACAAGGATTTTTCATAAAATTCTGCTATGACCTTGACCTTTGCCCTAAAACCATTGTTCAAAGCACTGCACACTGGTTACCCAAAGGCACTCTGTGGGTGAAGTATGAGCCTAATTGGGCCAAGGAGAGAGAAGATATGCTCCGGACAAGAGATCTGGGACGGACAGATGGACGGACAGACTGATCACTATACGGCACGCGCCTAGCAGGGCCCTAATAAGCCAGCTCAATGCAAGAATGGCTCTCACATGGGCCTCTGAGGTAAAGAGAAGAAGAAGATGGCCAGAACAACTGGCAACGCTCTAGATCTGTCGAGAGAGAAAAAGAACTGAGTTGGAGCAATTGGAAGGAAGAGCAGGTTGTTGCAAGTGACCGCCGTGGGTGGCGTTCTTTGTTGAAGGCCCTCACGAGTCCTCCAGGAGTAAGTAACTAAATAATCAATATATCCCCGCCCCCTCATATCAGAACCCATGAACCAGGGGCCATGATATGTAAAATTTTAGAAAAGGCACTTTTGCTCATTATTACGAAGCATTTATGCTGTTTCATATACAGGCGGTAGAGAAGCTTTTTAAAAGAATTTATGCAATTTCACTATCAACGGAGTCCCTCCCTTACTGGAGAACCCCTGACCCTGAGACCATGATGTTCACAATTCTGGTAGAGGGCACATTGTATGTTATAATCATTACAACAGTTTGCTGGATTTCATGGACTCAAGAAGATTGGCATTTAAATCATGTTTATGATATGATCCTTGCCTAAATTAACCTCGTTTTTTCAGAAAGATGCAAATGTTAGGTCACAAGTTTCTTTCTAAGATAAAGTGGGTTCTGCTCCATGTAAAATATATAAATTTAATGCAAACATCGAGGATAAACTTTTTAAAAGGAGAGAAAAAACCAATCGTGTGATAGGCCTTTTCGCCATTATTAATTAGTGTGTGTATGCCATTTCTTGGGCAAATAATTTCTATCATTGACATTTTTGCAAATGGTAGAGATTTTTCACAAATTATTAAAAATTTTGTTGCAATTGATATTACATTTTTCCCATGCATGTTTGTCGCACTACATTTATAGGCATTTCACTTGCCTAATTTGCCCTTCTTCTTTAGGACGTCAATATAGATAGCAATATATAAAGAGGTATTAGTATTAAAAAGTTTTCAGAAGACTTCTGATTAATATCAAAGATTTTATAGCAGGCAGTTGTGACATCATACTGACATTGTGTTATCAAAACAACATGGGTAACCTCTAGGTCTAACTGAAAATCATTATTTATGGTGCAATTTACCTGCAATGTTCTTTATCTGATTTTTTATAAAAAGCTTGAAATAAAAGTAAGAAATATTGATACTAGACTTTATCAATATCAATGTATTAATGTACTGAAAACACATCATATTGATAAATCAGGTTTTTGTTATAGAGTGCCATATCATTTCAAAAATACCAGTATGGTATCATGTTGTCACATTCATAACGTTAATAGCTTGTACAATTGATTGCCATTTACAATGTACAATGTAGATTTTTACATATTTGTTTACACATATCATTTTAAATGATATTCAAAAACAAGAGAAGAGGAATTTGCATGCATAAAATGCACTATAATTAACTATTACAGCTACAGTAAAACTCGTTTAGTACGAGCATGGATATAGCGAATTCACGGATATAGTGAAGTTTTTCTGGGTCCCCGGCAAAGTTCTTAACAAATCCTTGTAAAATTTTACGGTTATAACGAACTCTGATATAACGAATTTACGGATATAACGAACTGATTTTGGGTCCCGTTGAAGTTAAATATGATGAAATTTACATCTTTTATAACAAACTTTCAAAGATCTCAAAATTTGATAAATTGAACCGACTTATTTTTGTTCATGCAATTATATATGAAATTCAATTCACAATAAAACCTTAGTTATCAAAGGTATGTTCTGTAATATTTGCTTCCCTAACATATTTGGTAGTAATACTTGATGGAAAACATGCATATTGCGAATTCGCTTTATATGGTTTTACGAATTTGTTATACAGTTATAACGAATTACGGATATAGCGAATTAAATTCACAGGTCCCCAGGACTTCGCTATAACCGAGTTTTACTGTATAAGAAGTAATTATTTGTGTCTTATACATACAAGCACAGCTTTTTTAGTCCATTTGTAAATTCTGCTAATGACTGTCAAATATACAGCACTAAAGTATATAAAATAGCAATCAGATTCCACCTTGAGAAAAACTTTTTAAAAATAAACAATTTTTTCTGTTTCTGTAGAAATTATTGACATAATTTACAATGTAGTTCAATTGATTATATTCACACTCCTTGGTGTCCTGTCTCTCAGTAATTGACAAGTCTTGGTCTTCTGTCTGGAGACCTTGAACGGGATCTTGATCTACAAATGATATAAAATTATTTCAGTACTAATTCAATATTTCTTTTTTAAACAGATAATTCCCAATTCCATTAAATAAACAAAATATGCTAAATTTCAACAATTTTATTCAATTCATTTAAGGGGGGACCTATGTCCGAAAAGTCTTTGTGTGAAATTTTCAAAACTTTGACATTTCTTTCCTGACCGCTTGCTCTTAATTTTTAGGTTTTTAAACCAATACCTTCATATGCTTATTTTTACACAGGAGCACGTGCAAAAACAGTGTGAAATGCTAAATATAGATTATTTTCAGACATTATTGTTCTACCCCAAATATGCTCTAAAAAGAACCAAAAATATAAAATCACATTCAAAATCAACATGTATTTAATTTATATGACTTGTATCTTTAAAATGAAGGAAAATTCATTGTAATTCATCTCGCCGGAAAAATTATAATGAAGCAGAATGTGAGTATCACCCTGTTTTTCGTGTCGTATTTTTTACAATTCCGACATGCATAACAGGTAATATCTTAAAAAGTCTTTGTGTGAAAATGTTGTAACTCATATTTTTTGAAAGAAATGATTCATCTCTTTATTTTAACAAAGAAAAAAGTATACCTTTATGATAAAATAAACGAGAAATATGACGTTTTCTTTTATTTTCGTACTCTTGTGTCATAAATATTGACCTTTCTGCACTAATAAAAGGAAAGTAAGAACTGACAAACATCTGAATATAAAACTATTTTGCAAAAAAAAAACAACAAAAAACGAGTATTTTGTTTTGATTAGGAACAATTTATACAGATTATTTTTTCTTCTTCATTTGAATCATTCTGTCCCCCCTCCCCATTTCCCCGTCAATAACCAACACCTATTAGAACCTAGTAATGACTTTATACAATAAAATCTACATGTACTATAAATCAATAAGCAAATATAGGTACACATGTACAAGGACATTTCTTAATTCTTTTCTTAGTTTTATCCAGAAAATACAATTAATGGTAAATATAAAATTAAATATATTTCCCTGATTGAAGCTGCTTTCTTTGCTGAATTTTATCTTATCTTTTTGCTCTGTATATCGGCATACCATCAAGGTATTTATTCACAACTGAAACTGCTATGAATTATCAACCAAAGGAAAAGAATTCTAATATTAACAAACTCCATAAATCAAATAAAACTGTTATTAATGAGGAATATTTTTTTTTGTCAGTTGTGTACTTTATTGATTATTAACAAAGTCATGCCTATATCACAGTTGCAAAAGTCAACAGGTAAAAACAAACGTCGCTATTGTGACGTCACATAACGCTGCTTTGACGTAGAACGACATAGGTCCCCCCTTAAGGGATGGCAATTGAATACATACAGAATTGCAAATTTGTGAACTGAATTTTTTAGTCTTATTATGTACATGTATAAGAATTTAGCTAGAATAGGAAAAGTATATCAAGAAAATACATATTTTGATACAGTAAATCAGTTTATAGGCCAGGCATCTTGCAGTTAACCAGTAAGCAATTCTGTATTGGATTGGCATTCCTATTTTTTAGTATTTACATGCATGAGACTGCATTACAAACCCATAAATATAGAGACTCTTACACAGTAAGACGTATACAAAACTGAAAAGTTCGTAGTAGTGGTATATACATGTTATCTTTGTGTGACTGTATAAACTACTTTGCACTTTAGTACAAAAAATCAACAAGAGGCCGTAATGGTCACCAAAGTATAATGCAACACTATAAAGAGTCAATTATATATATAATAAAATAAACAGATAAATGAAGCTAGCTTAGACAAGAGAAACATAGGATGATTCGGGTTCATCTAAATACACTAATTAATTCAGTACTAAATGCAAATTTTAAAGTTGATCTATTTATTTAGTTGTACTAGCCCCCATTTGTCACTGTCTCCATCAGGTGCTCAATTTTGGAAGATGCAAGCTTGCTCATCATAGTATGCACTTGGTTTGTTTGTTTTATACCTTGTAGCAAATACTGTATACAGGGAAATTTTCGCCCCTGTTTTATTTTCGCCCCTTTTGCCCTTACCTTGGTTGAGCGAATTTAAAACGGGGCGAATTCAAAGAATACAGTATAATTTCTTAATCAAAAGTGTGATTGGGCGAATTAAAGACGGGGCAAAATTGTTTGCATGTGTGAAAGGGTGAAAATAAAGTGGGGCGAAAATAACCCTGTATACAGTAATGCACTTTCACTATACCCACTTTTGCTAATCATAAGTATGCATTTACTTTTATCCCAAATGGCAATTGATACTTTGTTTATTTTCAACCATACTAATATTTTTTTTTTAGTGCATTCATGTGAAATCCTTTAGAAACTTGAGTCAAACTGAATAATTATTGTCCAGGTGGTCCCTGAGGTAAAGCTCGCATCCCCAAAAGAAAATATCATAATAGTGGTCTAATGGTTAACTTGTAAACCTTCTGACCTGTGCCTATAACTCCTTGGGCTTCGTTCTCGTCTACCCCTGACTGGACTCCTGTGTCTCTCCCCACTCCGCCTTAAATGCCCCGGGCTGCGTCTCCTCTCGGAGTACTGGGTTCTCCCTCTGTCGGGTGAACCTCTGTTTCGCTCCCTACTTGGACTTTTCCTCCTCTCAGAATGGGGACTCCTTCTGCGGTCCTGTAATGGACTCCTTCTTCGATCAGACAGAGGACTTCTGCGACGTTCTTGCTGGGGACTTCTCCGTCTCTCTGGCTTTGGGGACCTATGTTTAGGAGAAGGACTTCGCTTTCTAACTTGAGGACTGTTACTTCTCTCATCAGAGTCACTACTATTTTGGCGCCCTTCTAATTCTCTGTGTCGTTTCTCCCTCTCTCTTTTTCTCAATTCTAGAGTCCTAATTCGTAGTTCTTCTTCTCTGTCCTACAAATATATGACTGATACACTAAGCTGGGCATGAAAAGTTTGAGGTGTTCTGTTATGATCATTCAATATCAGTTGCATTTGTTTTAGAACATGTTGATCAATGAAAGAAGATTCAGTGACCATTCATCAAGACCTTAAGACTGATACCCGGTATTACAATGTACTTATTTTTGTTTATAAGTTTAGTCTCCTAAGCCATATTAAAACCTGCATTATATTTGATATAAATTGTTCTGATAATATGAAGACATTCCTTGAGATGTTCTGCAGTTTTATATATGAAGGGAAGCAGTACATACCATACGTTCCTGTTCCATCTTGTTCTGTCTCTCGATGTCTGCCCTCTTGTCTGCCTTATCTAATGAACATTGGCCAAATTTCAAATCAATGGTTCAAATATTAACAAGTGCTTCTGTGTTTTATAATGGCTACAGTGCTAGATCACCTTTCTTTTAAAAGATATGCGTGTAATGCATCTAAAACAATCAAGTTTCAGTGACTAACATGAAAATATAATAAATCAAGTATACTTACATTGTTTATTTAATGCTGCTTGCATTCTCCTCTTAAGGCGTTCTTGTGGTGTAAGTTTGATGACCTACAGACAATATTATCTTTTTTTTATTAACCAGTATTCAAATACAATGGAGCAGTTCATTCAACATATAACTGCAAATGTGAAGACTTCAAACTTGGATAAACCTTACATTGATTTTACCAACAAAAAAAAAAAAATTTGCAATGCACATGTCTGGATATGAAAAGGATGTAAGTAATGATTTAACGGTAAATTAAAAATGTCAAAAAGGACAAATACACCCAGTATATGGGGGGGGGGGGGGGGGGGGGTAAAAGTATAAAATTATGTATTTTAATCTCACAGATCCTTCAATTGCAGTTGAGAAAGAGACTGGATCTTTAATTCTTATGATCAATTCCCAAGAAATTTAGATAAAACTTGGTTGATCAGAGATTCTCTAACAGAAATGGTGGATACAACCTTCTAATATAAAACTTGTTAATATAATATTTTAATGGATGCATGTTCACTCATTACTCCCAAAGGATGAATGCATATACAGGGGTTTTTTTTTGCAATGAACTATTTTTGTTAATTTCTTACAAAACTGCATATAATACAGTTTGTGAAAATTAACAACAAGCTTGCTTTCTTAATAAGGTACTAGCATAACTTTAACTTTTGTAGGGATGTCTACATGTACCTAAACCCTTCTTTTAATACTTGGTGATTTTTAAGTTTTAATTTAAGCTGGATTTCACATTTTTGTGCAGATGTACCATATGACAATTTTTTGATTCATAGTCCCAAATTTCTTGATAAGTATGTAGAAAAATAATTATATAAATGAGGATGAAAATATCAGGTGCACAATTTTATATGATGAATAATGATTATACAAATATTTAGACAGTCTCCAGACAAAACCATGCCTGTTGAGACATACAGACAAGCAAGCTGATTCCAACATATCATAAAGAATACCATAAACAATATTATATAAATATAGCCCTTTGATGAGGTCGATCCATAGATATATCGACTTCACAGAAAAGCATATCGACCGAGCATGAAGTGCGAGGTCGATATGCTTTTCTGTGAAGTCAATATATCTATGGACTGACTGAATTAAAGGGCTACATCTGTTATATTATTTTTTACACAGATTGACAAAACAAAATGTGAAAATAATGGGAATAAGGCACATGTTTTCTCTCTTTAACACTTAGAGACTAGAGATAAAAATAAATTCTGCTGTTTAATGTTAATGTGTTTGCTTTATACTGATGGAGTAATTTAGAGGATTTACTTATTCAAAATGCTCAATTTACTTGATTATGTTTTATATCAATTTTTGACAGGCAATTCCATTATGTTTTAATATAAAGTAGATCCGAATTCAAGGCTTCAAGGCATTGTTACATCTCATCAATTACAGAACATGAAAAAATATTAATACAAGTTGAAGTAAATATTTTTTTTAAGAAACATCTAGTCATATTCAGTATTAGCTATAATTGTGAAATCAGTGCTATTTTTGTTTTATAGAAAATTATCTCCATTTTAAGAAACATCAATAAAATTTGAGGTCTTAATTTCTTTTTTCAGTCACCTAAAATTGGGTCTATTGAATTAAAAGAAAAAGGTCATAAACAGGCACAAAACATTCTTCAATGACTCTTTGTATATTTTAAATATATGATAAATAGAATACTACATACTAAAATCCATATCATATGTAACATCAGCCCTAGGGCCCCATATCAGCCAGAGGGCCTTCGGCCCTCTGGCTGATATGGGGCCACTCGGTCTGATATGACATATGATATGGATTTTAGTATGTAATATTCTCTATATCCTATGTGGATAATATTACTGCTACAAAATGTATGCTGTACAGTAGTTTTTTTTCTTTTAAACACTCAAACACCCAAAATGTTATTGATCTTACTGACTTGAGATGTGGCCAAGGATGTTTTACCCACACCAGATCCAGATCTGAAAGATAAATATAACACTTTTTAAGGGAAAAAATAAATAAAATAAATTGCTACATAGATCTGTCATTGATGAGTGATTTATATTGATACATCAAGTCACAAAATGTGGGTATAAAGATTAACTTGTGCTTTTTTTCTTTGAAAACAAATTCTTTCATAATAGATACAAGTCTTGGTATAGGTATTCTTATTTTTTGTAATTGCTGATGTTTTTCACTATATTATATCAATAATAAACATGGTGAAAACTGCCCAAGAAATGGTGTTTACTTGAACAATTTCAACTATTAACTAAAAGATGAAATGTTTTTCTTTTATTTCAAAAAGAGTAAGAAAATATGACAAAAGCAAGAAAGTAAATGCCAGAATTTTTTTTTGGTAGGAGTGAAAAATGTTTCTTATACACAAAACAATTTTCAATATTGCATTGATTCAATGTAAATCAATGATACATCAATATCAAAACTTATCAATGACAATCTAATTTCATCCTTTTTTACAAATATAACTCAAGTTTCCTTGAAACAATTTAAAGTTCTTACTTTTGAGTATTTGATTTGCCTTTCCGATCAGACTCTGAATCACTGCTAGAAGCAGAAGATGACAGGCTTTTCCTACGATATCGTTTTATTACAGGTTTTTCAGGACTTGTTGACCTAGAACTAAAAAACAGAAATATGCTACGCAAGCCATTTTTCAGCTAGATATAAAACAAAATAATGAACTAAAGCCAAGTAATTACAGCTATGTCTGGCTATCTACCAAACTTCTTGTTCATATTTAGAATATTCCAAAAACATTCTTTTATATAATTGGCTATGTTATAATTAATCTGAAGAATATCTTAAAAATTAATGTTTTTAAAATGTTTACAGTAAAATCAATCATTTTGGTGTTGTCAGTTCTTCATGATTTGAGGAAAAATAAGTGGGACAGATGGGGCAGATTCATAGAGACAAGAGGCCCATGGGCCACATCACTCACCTGAGCACTGAGGCTAGGAAAAAGTAGAAATTGGTTTATTATTGAAAAGTTGAAATCCAAAAGTAAACCTTTGAACTGTTATGGTTTTGCTATTCTTGAGAAGATGATTTTTAAAGAATTTTCCTATATATTTCTATGTAAAACTTTGGTCAGCCATTGTGGCCCCGCCCTACCCCCAGGGGTCATGATTTAAACAAATTTGAATCTACGTTACCTGAGGATGCTTCCATATAAATATGATCAATTATGGCTTTGTTATTCTTGAGAGAAGATTTTTAAGTATTTTCCTATATATTTCTATGTAAAAATTTGGTCAGCCATTGTGGCCCCACCCTACCCCCAGGGGTCATGATTTGAACAAACTTGAATCTACACTACCTGAAGATGCTTCCATATAAATATGATCAATCATGGCTTTGTTATTCTTGAGAAGAAGATTTTTAAAGAATTTTCCTACATATTTCTATGTAAAACTTTGGTCGGCCATTGTGGCCCCTCCCTACCCCCGGGGGTCATGATTTGAACAAACTTGAATCGACACTACCTGAAGATGCTTCCATATAAATATGATCAATCATGGCTTTGTTATTCTTGAGAAGAAGATTTTTAAAGAATTTTCCTACATATTTCTATGTAAAACTTTGGTCGGCCATTGTGGCCCCGCCCTACCCTCGGGGGTCATGATTTGAACAAACTTGAATCTACACTACCTGAGGATGCTTCCATATAAATATGATCAACCATGGGTTTGTTATTCTTGGGAAGAAGATTTTTAAAGAATTTTCCTTTATATTTCTATGTAAAACTTTGGTCGGCCATTGTGGCCCCGCCCTATCCCCGGGGGTGAATCTACACTACCTGAGGATGCTTCCCCATAAGTTTCATCTTTCCTGGCACAGTGGTTCTTGAGAAGAAGATTTTTAAAACATACCACCAAATTTTCATTAATTCCCAATTATCTCCCCTTGAATGAGGGCGTGGCCCTTCATTTGAATAAACTTGAATCCCCTTCACCTAAGGATGCTTTGTGGCAAGTTTGGTTGAAATTGGCCCAGCGGTTCTTGAGAAGAAGTTGAAAATGTGAAAAGTTTACAGACAGACAGACAGGTGGACAGACAGACAGACGGACGCCGGACAAAATGTGATCAGAAAAGCTCACTTGAGCCTTCGGCTCAGGTGAGCTAAAAAGCAAATATCTCTTGAACACAACTGTGTCTGGCCAATTGTGGAAAGGTGAAATTACTGGTAAAAATAACACTGTTTTCAGCAAGTACTGCCTTATTGTCTAGATTAAACACTTTTTTAAATTAAAAAGTTAACTTTTTGTTCTTCATATCAAAAGTCAATTTTAAAAAGTGCAGCTATGAACTCACCTTGACCTTGATGATCTTGATCTACTTGACCTTGACCTACTTCTGGAAGATTTTGATCTTGACCTGAAATAAAATTTTCTCTTCCTTTTTAATTTGAATTTGTTATAAAGTGCTACTAATGTAAACCATTTACCATTCAATCTTTTTGTTGTCTTCAAATAATTTATGGCATATACATGTATACTCAATTATGATACTAAAACTTTCAATATTTTGTTGATTTCCATTGACTTGTCAAATAGTCTATCTATGTGTGTATACCTTGATCGTGAAGATGAATAAGATCTTGACCTAGATCTAGATCGCGAGAGACTGACCCTCTTACGAGGTGATCCAGATGACATTCTAGAATCTCCAGATCGCTTCCCATTCTTCTCTTTTTGAGGAGATTCATTAACTGTCTTTTCACTTAAAGCTTTAGATTTTTCTGGGGATTTACATTTAGACTGTGATTTCTGTGGAGTTCTTGAACGAGATCTAGATGCAGATGAGTATCTTCTTTTTCGTTTCTTTTCTTTTTTCTTCTTACTGAATATAATAAAAAACAATCATCTGAATTAATGCCAAGAAAGGGTTACATTGTCTAGTTCATGGCCTTATTCTTCAACTTAAAAAGTCAATCTTATTTTTTCTTTTTCTCCAAATTTCACAACACCAACTTACCATTTAAAATACATACATGTGCATGTGTATCTCGATCAAGGCATGTTTATCAATTTTAACTGAATAGTCTCAAAGTATGTATCTATAGCTTAAGTCTTATTGTACACTCTACAAATGCAGATGTCGGTTTTCATAAAAATAAGTGACACCGACCATGTCTGTGATGACTCGCTAACACTTAATTGTGGAGGAAGGGCAGGACCCTGGAGCACACCCTCTTCATCACTTTCTCCACCAAAACTTGTTATGAACTCCACTTTTGTCTTCTTGTGCTCTTCAGGTGAACGCGAGCGGGATCTTGATGATGAAGACTTTCTACAATTTAAAGAAAATATTCTGACATGTATACTAATGTTTATCATGAAAAAAAAAATGATTCTGTAATGAAACACAACTTTTTAAAAAACACAATACACACCTTTGATATGGTTCATATTTTGGACTATCTCTTGCAGCATAGCTAGAAGGGAATTTCAGAATATTAAATACTACTGAAAAAGATCAAGTTTAGAGACAATTGACAAGAAAAACTCATGACAAAACTACATGTGCACCATCATTTATTACCAAGTGCTATTCTTTTGAATGACCAGACATGTTTGAGGCATGCATGAGATACAAGTAATTTCATAAATGTGGAAAAAGTAAAGTAACCACAAATAACTTACAGGGTTGAAATGTAAAAAAGGATTTTTATAGTATATCATGTTCATGAAAGTCCAGTCCTCTTAATAGAGGTAATTGTTCTTACCTACAAAGAACAGTATATTTACCTTGGTGGGCTGAGTTTTCTACCAGCAAGCTTCTTCTCTTTATAAGCCCTTCTCTCTCTTCTCGACTTCCTTCCCTATTATTGTCAATACGTACACATTGGTAACTAAACAGTGTCAAATACAGAGTTCTTGAAATCTTTCGGTCCTGTCGGCAAGACCGATAAAAACAACCAAGGACCGATAACTTTACGTCCTGTGTCAGTCCAAATGACCGGTAGATGTTGAAAGAGCAACTTGTGAAAATCCGACTAAATTTCGTACGAATTCCCTATAAACCGACCAATCATAATCTGTTCAACGCTTTTCAGTATCTCGTAATGGCTTCTTTGTAGCCTAGGTCACGCAAGTCGTTTGACCTCCCACTCAAACTGGTGTGAGACCATCGATGCGACAAACGTGTAGGTGACCTAGACTAGCTTCTTTGATGAACACAAGTACCAAATTATGATTGATTAACTGTTAAAACAAGTTTTTTGACGGGCTAGGGTAAGCCTAGCTGCAATAATGTAGCCCTCTCCCATTTTTTTTTTTTTTTTTTTTTTTTTTTTTGGGAGAGGGCTACAATTCCTTAGGATCTCTATAATGTCGCAGATGCGGCAGTGGATCACTCCCGCATGGATTTCGGCTCAAATTATCAGTAAACGGCTATTTTATTATCATCTCTTACCTGGAATCAAAATATGTAATTATGCAAAACATAAATCGATCCAAAAATATTCACAACTATCCATATATCGGTTATTTTTCGTGTGTGTCAACAGAGAGATCCGCCATGTTTACTGACCTTGATGGATTGTATTTTGGGACAGCCAATGAGAATTTAGGTTCTATAGGAGCGGATCTACTAGGAATTCCTTTATTTTAAGCATACGTATCGTTGTTTGCGCAAAAATAACACTTGAAATGGTTTTATTTATCGATGTTTTAGTAATATATTATAACACAATCATTTTAAAAACCTCGACATATGCTTTATTTGGTTGTTCCAAATTTCAAGCGAAAAATTACGTCACGCGTGAACTGTCATGGCTGCTGAATATTGCAGCTGGGAAAGACACAGATTTATTTTACATGGTTTTCGAGTTTAACAGGCTATGTTGTTGACAGTGAATAAAAATTCCGTCTTATAAGACTAAGTAAGTTTAATGTTAAAATAATTTATTTTACCTCCAATCACCCGTATCAAAAAAATATATTTGCACCATTACGGAGATGCGATGGAATTGTAGCCCTCTCCAGAAAATATCAGATAAAAAAAAATCGGAGAGGGCTACATTATTGCAGCTAGGGTAAGCCAGGCGAGAAAATTGAACTTGATTAAAAACTTAAGAAGAATTCAACAAAAATTGTTAAACAATGATCAAATCGGCATGAAGCGTGCAGTGTACTGATAATTCATAATAAAATTCAAATACAGTTTTCATCTTTTTATTTAATTTTTTTTTTTTTGGACCGATAGAAATCTGTCTGGACTGACAGACTCCCCATAGCAGTCAGTCCAAATGACTGACAGCAAAAAAAAGATTTCAAGAACTCTGAAATATATTGATTTGAATTTCCTTTTGAGTACTTATGACAAAATAAAAAATTTCTCTGAGGAGTGAAGTGGGTTGATCATGTTCAATTCATTTGAAGTCTGATCAACTTCTTAGATCTGGGCTGTGTTCATGATTGTAATGGCCCACATAGAGCAATTTTTTTCCCATCATCATCAACATTCCATTTCACATCATACATTGAAGTTATAACGAAATGGTACAAGATGTAAATTGGCTTGGAGAGAGATTGTACTTTTACTTCAGAATTTAAGAGGGTTGACTCTAAGAAGCAAATATTTTATTCTAAAAGGTTTGGTCTTCTTACTCTTCATGAGAAAAATTTCCGACTCTGTATATCAGCCAGCAAATTGCTTGCTGATGGATGAAAATGTACAAATTTTGTAAAAATTATGAAGTTACCAATAAATAACTTACAGCAAATTGTGCCTTTTCCTCTTCCAACATTTTTGCTTGCCGTATTTCCTCCATTTCCTCTTTGTCTCTTGATAACCAGCTACAGATAACTTATTATTTTAGCTCTTACCATCAATAATGTACTTGAAAAATTAAATTTTTAAGATCATAAACTTCTAAGCTCTTGATTCCTTAATTTAGTATCATTTAAACACAAATTCTAAACCTTACCAGACAAAGTCTTCGTCCTTCATCCCATACGTCTGTGCACACTGGTTCAGCAAGGTCTTCTGTTCATTTGTCAAAGTATCAATGTCCAGAGTAACATCTAAAACAGGGAAAAAAGGGGTTTTGAATCTGTCGAATAAGGCGAAATAAGTATCTTTTTTGTCAGTTTTGAGATATGTATCATTCCAATTACAACATTAGTGTCTAGATTTATTTGAGAGGCTTTAATTTTGTGGATCCTGAATATCTTTCTTGTATAAAGGTTTATTCCTTTATAGGACAGAGATGAAAACACTATATGCCTCTGCTCTGTCATAGTTACAGTAGGGCATGAAAGAAAATTAACAAAATGAAAAGACTGAGTCATTGTGTAAATTACAGTACTTTTCCAACTAAACCTAAAAAAATCTCCAATTTAAATCAGGTGAATATAGAGAATTGTCTGGCTTCCGTTACCTAGATCCATTGCCTCTACATCTATGTCCGAGTCCTCCTCTTCACTCTCCCCCTCCTCTTTCTTATCAGGGGTTGGTGTGCTGTCTTCATATGTATAACCTATTGCTGCCTTCTTCTCTGCCAGTCTAAACAGTCAGAGAAATACCGGTATCAATATTTACATGTTTGTTCATATGATCAATGAAAAACAAATTATTGCTTTACTTTCAGGGGGCATGTTATCTATAAAGAAAAAAGATAATCATAACAGGAAACTATTATGATGTGAACTGAACTTGTCTTGAAAATCATGGAAAATACTTGTATCTGTATATTTATATATATAATGTATTAAACTGTGAAGTCAGTCTTTTTTGAAGTTATTCCATTATTCAAAGGTATTTTGAAACAAGTTTGGTTGATACTGACTTAGTGAACCTGGAGAAGGTAAAAACGGGATTTGCTATTACAATGACAGTCATTCACAGACAACAAATTTTCAACCAAAAAAAGCTCACTTGAGCCTTTGACTCTGATGAGCTAAAAATGGCAGTCTTATCTACATGTCTTACTTCTTTTTCTCATCCTCTGGCCCTTTGTTTACAGCACCATACATTTCATCAATATAAATTTGATGCAAGGCTTGTTCCTCTGACACTACAAACATAAAGAAAAATTTTACATTTTAAACCATCATTTACTTAAAATTTTTGGCTTCATTTCTCTAAATAATGTGCAGGTCTGTCTTCTTTGATTCAGTAAAATTTCTAAAAAAAAATATATCCAAAACATATAATACTCCATTTGCTTCAAGTAATATGGTCCATAGAAGTTTGTGAAAAGTTACTGGTATCCAAGTAAAGAGACAATAGAATTTTCCATCAATGAGCCATTTAGAGAACTTTGTACCTCCTGCACTTTCATTTTCAACCAATGTTCGATATCTCTCATAGTTTGCTCTCCTCTCTTCTTCTTCCTCTCTCTGACTCAATCTACAGAAAAAAATTACATTAAAAAATACTCTTACTGAAATCAACAATTTTTCAAATTGATTAAAAAAATATACAATATTCAATTAAATTTCTTTGTAAAACATGTAAAACTGAGAGTAGTCTTACATTGGTGGTGCCACAAGATTGAACTTAGGCATGATGTCTAGATGTGCTCTAACATCAAATCTATCTATCATGTTTTCTTTGTCTCCTTGCCAAGGCATCCTGTCAACAAATTATTATACATGTACAACAAAGCCATTTGCTTGAAGATGTTATGCATAATTATGAATCAAGTGTTTTAAGCAGATACAGACAAACCTCATTATCTTAAACTTTGGCTGAGAAAAAACATTAAGATTGACAGATAGTATGAGGGTTTAAGATACTAAGGTTGAGATTCCACAAGAACAAATGTCTGGGATTTCCAACTTGTGGTATTCAGAAATCAATGTTCAATATACATGTACTAATTTAAACTGTACCTAAAATCTCCACACTTTTGTACTACTTGATATTCAAAAATTGAACCTCAAATCTATACAAAAATCATTCATTTAATCAAATTAAACAAGTATAAAGCGATTTTAAAATGCACATAGAAATATTAGTGTGCTAAATACAAACATGCTTTGGGGGCTCTCTGCTGCAATAGCAACTGCAGGATCCAAATTCACCTTTACGGGACGACCATACACCCTCAAAAACTGGGTGGGATCAAGTTTCTATATAAAAAAGAGAGGACAAGTAGAAATAAGACATTTCAGAACAATATCAACACTTTGAATGAAAAAAGACTGCTCACTATTTTCTCATAGAATTCTCTTCGTCGATCTGCCCTTTTCTTGTAATCGACCATAAGTCCTCTGATTTTCTTCTCCTGTTTTCTGGCTTCATGCCACATTTTGAAGGCTTATGTTTCCTAGGTTACTTTGTACTATTATAAAATTTTCTGCAAACGAAAAAAAATATGATTTTCTGATAACAGAATCCACATAACTTGATAAGTGGAACGTTACAAAACAGCACCTCCTTCTTCCCTCAAGCTATCCGGCTGTGGAATTCCTTACCAGAGGGAATGGCGGAGGCCAAGACCCTGGACAGCTTCAAGACCCAGCTGTCCAGTGCCTGCCACTAGATGTCACATCTCTGCGCTTTTAATCTTTTAACTTTGTGAGCACTGTATATAGACACTCACCCCCTCACGCAGAGTGCGATAATACTTAAGGGGGCCGACTATAGTTTCCATTGCGCAATATTTCACGCATCATAGTAAAATGAAGGGTGTTTATTGTTTAAATGCAACTTTTTTGGCTTAATTATAAAAATTAAACAAAATTAAGAAATTATATTTACAAAAATGTCAATACAATTTGATATTACCCGTTGATTTTTAACCGATTTTGCAATTGATTTAATTGACTCGTTGCAGTGTGTTTTTGACGTTATGATAATCTGTAGCTCTTAAAGAAAGGGATAATAATAATATTATTAAAGAAAAAATAATAAACATACGCTCTTGAAATTTAAAACATAGAAATTTGAGAATATCTCTAATATTTTTATTATGTTTTTATGTGAATCCATTGTGTACACCATATTTTGTAATACTCTATAAAAATAGTAAAATTTGCTAATTTTTTGCATTTTGAGATGTCCCCTCTGGTAACAAGACGGTAGAATTTTGTGTTTCTTACATATATTGTATAATATAGTATGACTCATCAAATATTATAGTTTGAACAAAATGTCTATTGTAGTATTTGTATAATTTGCTTTAAAGTGTTAAAAATTGGCATTTTCCTACATAATCCTATGTAAATGCATTTTTTTGACGGTCCCCCCAAAATACCTGGACGGTAGATTTCCCCCAAACTTTGCATGTACACTGAAGTTAATGTAAGTTATATATGGTATAAAAATGAAGAGTTTTGCTATTGTAGTTTTCACACAAACAAGAGGCCCATGGGCCACATCGCTCACCTGAGAAGCTTTGACCATTCTGTTCTTTAACGATTTTGCTTGTTATACATGTCATACCCACCCTACCCCATGTCATAATTTAGACATTTTGCAATCTACACTACCCCATGATCCTTCCATGGGCACAATCAGCTTTTTTGGCCCAGTGGTTCCCAATCAAAGATTTTCAAAGATTTTTCCTATATATTTCTATATAAAACTTTGATTCCCCATTGAAAAGTTGGATTTAACAATTTAGAATCTACACTACACCAGGATGCTTCCAAATAAGTTTCAGCTTTTCTGGTCCAGTGGTTCTTGAGAAGAAGATTTTCAAAGATTTTTCCTATATATTTCTATGAAAAACTTTGAACACTGTGGCCCTGCCCTTGTCATCTTTGAACAATAGAAACTACACCAGAATGCTTCCACATAAGTTTCAGCTTTTCTGGCCCAGTGGTTATGAGAAGAAGATTTTTCCTATATATTTCTATATAAAACTTTGATTCCCCATTGTGGCCCCGCCCTTCCCCCGGGGGTCATTGGAACAATTTAGAATCTACATTATACCAGGATGCTTCAAAAAGTTTCAGCTTTTCTGGCCCAGTGGTTTTGAGAAGAAGATTTTCAAAGATTTTTCCTATATATTTCTATATAAAACTTTGATTCCCCATTGTGGCCCCGCCCTTCCCCCGGGGGTCAATATGAACAATATTACACTTCCCCAGGATGCTTCCACATAAGTTTCAGCTTTACTGGCCCAGTGGTTCTTGAGAAGAAAGATTTTCAAAGAATTTTCCTACATATTTCTATATAAAACTTTGATTCCCCAAAAATTCCCCCGGGGGTCATTATTTGAACAATTTAGAATCTACATTATACCAGGATGCTTCCACATAAGTTTCAGCTTTACTGGCCCAGTGGTTCTGGAGAAGAAGATTTTCAAAGATTTTTCCTATATATTTCTATATAAAACTTTGATTCCCCATTGTGGAAAGTTCCCAATCATTTGAACAATTTAGAATTTACACTATGCCAAGATACTTTCACAAAGTTTCAGCTTTTCTGGCCCAGTGGTTCTTGAGAAGATTTTCAAAGATTTTCCCTATATATTTCTATATAAAACTTTGATTCCCCATTGTGGCCCCGCCCTTCCCCCGGGGGTCATGATTTGAACAATTTAGAATCTACATTATACCAGGATGCTTCCACATAAGTTTCAGCTTTACTGGCCCAGTGGTTCTTGAGAAGAAGATTTTTTAATGACCCAACCCTATTTTTGTCTTTAATTGATTATCTCCCCTTGCGAGGGGATATGTCCCTTCATTTTAACAATTTAAATTCCCCTTCACCCAAGGATGCTTTGTACCAAGTTTGGTCAAAATTGGCCCAGTAGTTCTTGAGAAGAAGTCGAAAATGTGAAAAGTTTAAGAAAAATACGGACAGACAGACAGACAGACAGACAGACGGACGGACGACGGACAAAATGTGATCAGAAAAGCTCACTTGAGCCTTCGGCTCAGGTGAGCTAAAAAACTACAGTCGGCCCCCTTAAGTGGTTTTGCACTGGATAGGAAGAAGATGAAGAGCATTAACATTTTCCCTAACTAAATGAAATATATAAACACATCACAATTATATTTTGATTTGTAATTAAATATTTGCTACAATCGCCTTGCTGTTTTTTGTTAGGTTATTTTTCTAACCTACAGAGACAAAATACTTCATCATTTGTACAATGGGCTACATAATAAGTAATCCAAGATTCCTCTGACTCTAACCTTTGCTTTTTATATTGTGACATGTGCAGGGGAGATCTTCCATGCACATGTATGTCTGACAATATAAAAAGCAGGGGCTAGGAGTCGATTCGCGGATTAACGTTACATAACAAGTAAACGTTGCTTATGCTGATGAGAAAGGCTTACCCTCCAGACTTTCATATACTTGTTTATGCTTATGAGATTTAAATACATATTCCCCTGACTATCTCTGTGTAGTTTGTAAATCTTCTTGGACCGGAAATAAGAGGTCACGTGACATCTATTATCAGGCTAAAAACAGCTATGGGTGGTTATGTATGCCCTAGTTCATGAGCACACATGATAATTAAAAATTCCATTATAATCGTAACATTCTGTAAGTAGGTATTTCAACAAATATACTATTAAAAAATGTATTTCTACATTTTATATAGATAAAAAAGAATAAAAAGTTTTTTTAATTGATATAATCTTAGGAGGTCATAAGAATCGGGTGTGTTAAACACTTTTTGGTAAATATTGTCGTCTGCCAAAGAGAAGGGGGATTCTTGTTCATATGATTCAAACAGAACTTTGAATGGAATAAAAGGCAAGGAATACCTTTTATGATTTAATTTTACTACTTTATTCTTTATCTTTTTTAATGAATATTCATGATATGTTTTCTTTGCTTGAAGTTTATTTTTATGTAGTTGATCTAATTATTACGAAAGCCGGATAGGCTTATTTCTGAAAAGATAAAAAAAAACTTTCGTTATAACGAAAAAAAAATCTCGTTATAAAGATAGTATCTCGTTATAACAATATTTATTTATTTCATCGTTATAACGACAATCATTAATTATAACGATTTAGATCACTCGTTATAACGATTATAACGAGTTAATATTCTCGTTATAACGAGTTAGTTATGAATTCAAAATGGCTGTAGTTTTAATGCCATTGATGTTTAGTTGATAACTATCGGTCATACTGCACTTTAAAATTGATAAAAAGTTGCAATTTTAAAGTCTAATTATGAAATTTTCAATAAACAATTTGATAAGTATATAGCAATCTTTATTTACACATTAATTTCTATTACCAAATGTACTTGCTTCAAAGTTTGGCAATTTATTTATGACAATTTTCTTAATTTTTAGGTATTAAAAACAGTACCTTTATATGCAACATATATTTTTGATATATATTATTTTGAGAGCAGAAATGTTTTGAAGAAGGGGAATATGGAGGCATCAGCAAAAAGTGTGATGTATTGCTAAAAATATAAACAGAATACAATCACAGGCACAATTCGAAAAACAAAAATAAACTAATTTGCTTCAAAAAAAATATTTATCATACACACTATTGATCAACTCGGTTTTATATGGTAGGCCTGAAGATATATACGAAAGTTACCTCCCGTTGGCCGCCATATTGGAATTCGTTATACGTGATTTTCCCTCTTAAGTCGTTATAACTTAACCAAGTTATAAAGAAAATATAGCAGAAATATTTGGTTATGGAAAATCTTTATCAAATAATTTTTTTTAAATAACTAAGTCGTTATAAGGCTAACTCGTTATAACAAAAATTTATATACTTCGTTAGAAAAATAATGTTTCTAATTCAAAATAAAGCAAATATAAAAATTTTAAATTGGTTGAACAAAAAAATTAAAAGATAGGCCAACAATATTTATTTATTTCATCTGAACACAACAATCATTAATAAAGCCTTCACGATAGATCACTCGGTTAATGATTTGAGGTAATATTCTCTTAAGGGGGGACCTATACTTGTCCGAAAAGTCTTTGTTTATGAAATTTTCAAAACTTTGACATTTCTTTCCTGACCGCTTGCTCTTAATTTTTAGGTATTAAAAACAATACCTTTATATGCTTATTTTTACATAGGAGCACGGGCAAAAACAGTGTGAAATGCTAAAAATAGATTATTTTCAGACACTATTGTTCTACCCCAAAATATATATGCGATAAAAAGAACCAAAAATGTCAAATCACATTCAAAATCAACAAGTGTTTAATTTATATGACTTGTATCTTTAAAATGAAGGCAAATTCAATGTAATTCATCTCGCATGAAAAATTATAATAGAGCACAATGTAAGTATAACCTCGTTCTTCTTGTATTTTTTACAATTCCGACATACTTAACAGGTCATATCTTTAAAAGTCTTTGTGCGAAAATGTAATTCATATTTTTTGATAGAAATGATTCATCTCTTAACTTTAACAAAGAAAAAGTATGCCTTTATGATAAAATAAACGAGAAATATGACGTTTTCTTTTATTTTCGTACCCTTGTGTCATAAATATTGACCTTTCTGCACTAAAAAAGGTTAGTAAGCACTGACAAATATCTGTATATAAAACTAATTTGCGAAAAAAGAGTATTTTGTTTTGATTCGAAACAATTTAAACAGATTAATTCTGTTCTTCTTCATTCCAATCATTCTGTTTCTCTCCTCCCCCCCCCCCCCATGTCCCCGTCAACAACCAACACCTATAAGAACCTAGGAATGACTTTATACAATAAAATCTACATGTACTAAAAATCAATAAGCAAATATAGGTACAAGTACATTTGTTAATTATTTTCTTAGTTTTATCCAGAAAATACAATTAAAGGTAAACATAAAATAAAACATTTCTTCCTGATTTAAGCCGCTTTCTTCGCCGAATTTTATCTTATCTTTTTGCACTTATATATCAGCATATCATCGAGGTATATCTGATTTTTAATTGCTATGGATTATCAACCAAAGGAAGAGAATTCTAATCTTAACAAACTCCATAAATCAAATAAAACCGTTATCAATGATGAATAAATTTTCTTTTTGTAAATTGTGTACGTTACTGATTATTAACAATGTTATGCCTATAACTATCACAGTTGCAAAAGTCAACAGGTAAAAACAAGCGTCGCTATTGTGACGTCACATAACGCTGCTTTGGCGTAGAACGACATACCAGTAGGTCCCCCCTTAATTAATTAAGTGGTGTTTTATTCATCGTCGCAACTGGCAAACCACGGCCAAAATGTACGATCCTATACCATTCTGGTAGGAGAGAACTACATGCGGACTCCGAACCGTGGCTTGAGACGATGTGTTTTATTTAAATAGCAAAATTAAATGTACAGAAAATTTTATTTTAAAAAGTTTAAAAAGTCTTTGGCCGTTTAGGGTAGAAAAAACGGGGCGGGGGTGTCCCGTCCCGAAGCACCTGTTGACTAGGCCTAACTGTGGAACTGTAGCGTTGTGGTTTTTATAGAACTATAGTCTTTGGCCATTAACCTCGTGATATAAAGTCTAATTTACGATATCTTCACTTTCCAGGATTGGTCTGTGTCCAAATCCTTCAGTAATACCTGGTAATGACATGGAATACAAAAACCAATAAATGTCTTCTCATCCACTCATATACCCCACTTGTCATTTGCTGGGCACAAAAAGTCGGGAGTCTGATATGTGGGACCCCCCCTTCCGGAAAAAAATCCAGATTCCTTCCTGACTGTCTTTTTCTTATCATATTTCGACTTTCGCGCCATAGTGATACGATTGCTTTTTCAATACGATTGTAAAATGTTTTTTTTTTTATTTCTATTCAATTTTTAAGATACTGGAATATTGTTGGTTTCTATTTCTTTTTCCTAATATTTACCTTTAAAATGTCAATTGCTCAAACAGTCAATTTTTGACGTTGATTTACATTACCTAAACGCAAAACCATGAAAAATGCATATATGTAAGTAACAAATATAATAAGACTGGAATTAGAATTTCGACTCTTTTGTCTAAAAATGATTCTTTTTATTTCTTTAATAATAAATTTGACATTTTTATAAATATTGAGGAGACATATATTAACCTTTGACTTAAAACTACATGTATATATTACAAAGGAAGGTATACTTTTGCTCAACTTAGTAGTGCAAAAACTGCAAATGTAAATATTTTTTAACCACATCTTGTTTATTACAGAAGATGAAAATTCTGCCGTTTCAATTTGAAGATACTTACGCAAGAGATGGACCAAGCCAAAACAAAGAGATTCTACAAGAAACACAAGAGGAGGCTGAATTCAACCTCCACGAAATGTTCGATGTCTATGACGACACTGGAGACGAAGTGCCGGATGTAACGGGTTGTGACTTATTTTGTCCAGAATCCCTTTCCGACGAAGTTGAACACAATGTACCGTTCTCTTTGATAAGTTCACAGGAGTCGGACGACATTTCAGGGGGCATGGTTTATCCACAAATTGAAAACAGCCCATCAACGATCTTTAACGATTTTGGGGAGGATCTGAACCGGCGACTACCGATGGAAGATTTGAGCCCATATGAAAACGAGACGGAGGACACTATAATGGAAGAACAAGTTGGTATTCAGAGTGTAAATATTCTCAGAGGGATCCCTTCATATAACGCGGAAGTTTTCACGGGGAGCATCATACAGAATAGGGATCGACACGTCCCAGATTTGAATGGATCATTTTACGATTCTGACGAGGAGAGAATTCTGAGTTCTTGTTCTACCTCTGATCAAGTTGTTCCAAACTTTTACATGGAGGAATAGTATTTTCGAATTGGCGGGACCTGTCATTGTTATTTGTTGTTCAGAATAGGGATCAACGTGTTCCAGATATAAATGGACCGTTTTATGATTCTGCGTGGAGAAAATTTCGATTTGGAGGGAGAATGTTGAGTTCAACTTCATATTCTACCTCTGTCCATGTTCCCATCTTTACATGGAGGAATAGTTGTTTTGAAATGGCGGGGCCTGTCATTGTTGTTTCTTCACTGTTATTGCTTCATATGTTACCATATCTTTATTTATTGTTAATTATACATAATTTATTTTCTATTTATGAGAAATGCACATGAATGCAAGCGTTGCAAACAATGTTGATCATCCTTGTTGATATAAAATGTAATGAATGTAAGAATTACTAATGTTCCTCATCCTTGTTGATACTGTTAGACATTCTTGTTATTAAATTACTTGTGTAGCTTTGTTAATGCAGCCATACATGTGTGATACTTAGTCTTAATCATGAAATAAAGTTTAATGGCACCTTTCATACAAGATATTTACTTTTTTCCATTTTTATTTTATTGAAATTTGATAGTAGTTTTTAAAAAGTAGAGAGCAAAATCCCCCCAAAGGTTCAAATTCCCATCTACTTTTAAATTGATACGGAAAGCATATTAGTGCCACTTGCACACTTTACTTTTTTTAATTTCTACACTTTAGTCTGTAAAATTTACACTTAAAAAGTGTAAAATTTACACTTAAGTCTGTAAATTTTATACTTTAATCTGTAAAAATTTACACTTTAAAGTGTAAAATTTACACTTTTAAGTGTCAAATTTACACTTTAAAGTGTCAAATTTACACTTTAATCTGTAAATTTTACACACTTTTAAGAGTAAAATTTACACTTTAATCTGCAAAATTTACACTTTAATCTGTAAATTTTGCACTTAAATCTGTAAATTTTACCCTTTATTTCTATATTCACATAGTCAATTTAGCAACTTCACACATCCTCAGTAACACATTTCAAAGCCAACAGACCATAAATCATGCATGATAAAATTTAATTCTGATTTTTATTTTATAATAAATGCAAATATTAAGCAAATTGGTATGACTGATACAAGTAAAACTTTTCTTAGAATATAAGTGAAGAGCATATCAAACATACATGCACATATTCTCGATGAATGTGATATTGATATCATCATGCGCAAATTCGTTTAATGCGCTCAGTAGTTCAATTATTGAATCTGTAAATTTTACGGCAACAGTTGAATTAATTGAATTTTTTAAAATAATCAATTAATATATTATTAACAGAGGCGTAGTCACAAACTTAAAAGTGGGGGGGGGGGGCTCAAGTCCAGAAATTCTTTGACAAGCAAAAAAAAAAAATTGAAAGTTCCCCAAACTCAAAAATCCTATTTCGTCGGGGGAGGGGAGGGGGGGGGGGGGGGCTCAAGTCCAGAAATTCTTTGACAACCAACTTTTTTTTCAAAGGCAAGTTCCTTTGAATTCCAATTTTTCTACACAATTTTTTTTATACAACTCTGTATTAATATTATTTTAAAATAGCTGTGATTTTGTTCTTCATTAAAAAGTGGGGGGCACAGGCATACCCCCGCTGCCCCCCCTTTGACTACGCCCATGATTAAGTATATAAATAACTAAAGTATGTTTATATTAATTTTGGAACAGCAAAGAAATTTATATCCTTTGATCCAATGACGTTTCTTTAATGCTACGTTAAAAAATGACCGTGATTTTAATATTATAATTATATCATTTCATCATGACCATAGAACCATAAACTTGTAATATCAATCTGAACTGCAAATAAAAAAATCTTTGAGATATATATTTTTACTGTTCGTTACACTATAGTAAAACTAAAGAAACACATGTATATATACTGAAACAAAAGCAGATCCCTGATTTCTTATGCTGGGAAAAATTAGGAGACCTTTGAGGAAATCGTCCATCCTTGTTTATCATATACTAATAAACATGTATTTGTAAAAAAAAATATGCAAACAATTGTTTAACATCTCAGTTTAATACTTTTTTTCAAGAGTAATACGTAAAACATAACGAATCGACCGTTTGATTATAACCGATTACAGTTCAGGTTGTTCAAAATAAAGTGTAAATTTTACAGATTAAAGTGTAAATTTTACAGATTAAAGTGTAAAATTTAGAGATTAAAGTGTAAAATTTACAGATTAAAGTGTAAAATTTACAGATTAAAGTGTAAATTTTACAGATTAAAGTGTAAAATTTACACTTTAAAGTGTAGAATTAAAAAAAAAGTAAAGTGTGCAAGTGGCACTAATACGCTTCCGTAAATTAATAACTGATATATTCACTGTCGTGATCCCGTGCCGGATTGGACAAAACAAGATGGCGGCGGGAACAAATCGAAAAAGGTAGGTACCTGAGATTTCGGTAAATATCCCCCGTTAACCGTCAAATATGCTTGATTCGAAGATACTGTTGAATTCCTAGTAAAATGTTTATTAGTGTGTTTAATTGCTACTTTTCCTATCGTCTCTTAAACTTGAACATTTAACGACTGAAGACTGCAGAATTTCTTCGATTGAGTTTGAAGCGGCATGGAGTTGTTTTTTTTTCTTCGATTTTGACAGTTTTATGCATCCAGCAGCAGGAGTGTGGCTAACAAATGATACTTTGGAGTAATTCTGACCCGTTGTTAATTGTTTATTTGTTATAACCCATTTTATTAAAAAAATATTTCGATTTAAAAATGTTGACATGTGCTGGATTGGAATCGGTTAATTTTAATGGAAATTGTGCCGGATTAGACTGCATTTTTGGTGCCGGATTGGATGATGTTCATTATGGTCGTTTATATAATAACTTTTTTTCTCTTTAATTTTTATGATATGGATGCATCGTTTTGTGAAATATACGAGAAGGAGGAAGTAAGATTGTTATCAGTTATGGTCCCCCCCCCCCTTTCGATTAAAAATCTTTTTTTTTCCTATTTCTTTTTTATCTCAAATTTTATTGTACCCATATTTCTTTTACAGAGACCACTGTTTTGGTAAACCCCAAAGAGCTCGTGGGGCCAGAAAAAAGGAAAGGAGGAACCGTTAGTAAGTCCGCAAAACCATTAAGCATACGAGAATTTCATCATGCACATGAGGCGAAGTTCGAAATTGCATCATGTTACTTAGTAGGGCCTTTCCGTCAGAGGTCAGAAAAACAGCCTCGAATGTATCATCATCAACGGGTGTTAAAAATTTATACGTTTCCTGTTTATTTGAATATAGGATTGAAGGGTTTAGCAGTCCCTTCTCTTGTATATTTTAGGTAATATCATTGCAGTCAATAAAGTTAACTTCATACTCCACAGATAAGAGGTCTTCCAACATTTATTTCAAAGTTTGTGAAAAGGGGGGTTGTCATGGCGTCTTTGTAGTACATGTACATTCGAGGTTATTTTTAGAGTGCGAGTAGGAAAGGCCCGATAGTTTGCCATTGGAGAAATTCGATTACCTACGTACGCTAGTACAAAAGAGTGCTTTAGGGTACGCTGGTAAAATTTTATAATTTAATGCAAATAAACTGCTTTCTGTATGTTTTTCTAAATTAGTTTAACATAATAAAGATATCATTTAAATAAATTGTGTATGTGTTCTCTATTTTTGAAGTTAGGCCTATTTTATCTTTTGATTTCAGATGACAGTTTAACGCTTGATCCCGATATCGATGTAATTTAACTTCAAATGTTTCGTTGTTAATGTGTAAAATATTACATTTTAAGTAATGCAATTAATTTAATTTTTGATGAATGAAAATTAAGTTGAAATTAATAAGTTTGAAACAACATTACTAATGTTATGGTAAATGTTCATTGAAGGGCTGGATGGCCCCCAACTTTTTGTGATATAAGGTAAATGTAGTATAAAAAAATTGTTACTGAAAGAAGTTGGCCTTGAAATTGAAATTTCTCTGGCTGGCCCCCCCCCCCCCCCCCTTCAAAAACGACGCTTCGTGGATGTACTGTACCAAACCATGAACATGATCGAGTAGAATACTAAAATTTCAGATTTGATTGTATTTCAGAAGACAAAATCAAAATGTTTCTTCTGTTATACGGCAAATTAAATGAACTTACCGTAAAATTGTTTACAATAAATTTTAGTAAAATAGTAACTTGCTAGAAAAAAGTGTCAATGGGGACAAATGCATTCCTTTATCTACTACGGGGAAAAGATATTCAAAAAAGACGACGAAAATTTCTGACATGTTTTGTTCAAATTTAATAAAATAACAGTCATGAACCTTTTTTTTTGTCTAACCATAACAAACAAAAAAAGTAAAATGCGTGAAAGAAAAATAATATAAAAAATCTTTGAAACAATATGAATGAGAGAAATCAGTACAATTGTTTTGAATTTGAAATAATCACAGATATACCTATCTAAGATCCTAAAAATATTTTGGTCAGTGTCTGTTCCTCGGACTTTCTGAATTTCTCTACGCCTGTTTTTGATGTACATGTACCGTCATAGGTTGAACTTCCACCTGTAGCAGCTGCCGTAGATAATGCATCGATACCTCTCTGCTGCTTCACGGTCAATTCTTATGTGCTTGTAAAGTGTCATCTCTACAAAACTCCTGAGTGCAGATGCTTAGACAAGCTTTATTAAATTCCTCCTGGTATTTCATTGAACTATGCATCCATAGCTTAAAAATAAAAGAGAAAAAAGTTTTTACATAAATGACTATCATGAACATCATCAAATCCGGCACCAAAAATGCAGTCTAATCCGGCACAATTTCCATTAAAATTAACCGATTCCAATCCAGCACATGTCAACATTTTTAAATCGAAATATTTTTGTAATAAAATGGGTTATAACAAATAAACAATTAACAACGGGTCAGAATTACTCCAAAGTATCATTTGTTAGCCACACTCCTGCTGCTGGTTGAATTAACCTGACAAAACCCAATAAAAAAACAACTCCATGCCGCTTCAAACTCAATCGGAGAAATTCTGCAGTCTTCAGTCGTTAAATGTTCAAGTTTAAGAGACGATAGGAAAAGTAGCAATTAAAACACACTAATAAACATTTTACTAGGAATTCGACAGTATCTTCGAATCAAGCATATCTGACGGTTAGCGGGGGATATTTACCGAAATCTCAGGTACCTACCTTTTTCGATTTGTTCCCGCCGCCATCTTGTTTTGTCCAATCCGGCACGGGATCACGAGAGTGATATTATAAACAATATTTAACGTCGGAGAATTTTCCTTTCCATTGAAGCATAAAAATAAAGTGGCTTTGAAATTTACACTGTATACATATCTCCTATTTGTTTTCTCTGTGAAACTCCTTGAAAGTTAGGCGAGTTGATTTCTTGATAATTCAACCGGAATGTAAATTTCGCCAAGAGTGTTGGTAAAATGGGTAGGCAAACCCGGGCCGGGGCAAATGAAAAGCCGGGGCAGATCGAGATTTTTCAAATATCTCCGCTAATACTCAACCAATTAATCTGAAATTTTCAGATTATGT